GCCCTATCAAATACAAATTACAAAATACTCAAAAGTAATTGAAATACGTATTTCAAATACATGTAATAGAAATACTGCCCATCTCTGCGTACGGCCTGCCCGAATCGCTACTGAGCATGTGCAACTCTCGACAGAGATGAGAAAGAAGCAAGGTGGCTCACTTGTAAGCTTACGTTGCACATGCTCAGTGCCAATCGGGCAGGTGCTAGCAGACATGTAAAGTTATCTGTGGCTAGCAAAATGTCAGCAATTTGGCAAATTTTTACACTGGCAAGTTCAGGTATTAGTAAGAGAAAAAAACCACACACACACTTGCACAAATCCCCTTGTGTGTGTCATTATACGCAGCCCTCATCCTAAACTCCCTGCCATAAAGGCAAAAGAACAGGTGGAAGGGTTCCCACAGACAGTTACCATTGATGAAGCACCTCTCTCCCACACGGAGCCCTCACGCGGGAATACCTCCTCACATCCTCTCATTCATATTCCAGAGCGCATCTTAAATTCCCTGCACTACCTGGTAAACGAGTTCCACCACTGGCCAGTCTCCGCTGGGATCCCGCTGCTCCCAGCGGTTGTACTTCTTTCTTCCTTTGACCTTCACGTTTGCAGGCTTAGATCACTGAGCTGAATGCTCTCTGATAAGCCGCCCGCTCACAGGTGCACAGATTCACAGCTGGCAGCTGGGACCTGCCCACAACAAACGCTCTCATCCAGCAGCAAGTGGGAGCATTGTTTGTGTTCAATTGTTTTACTCACAGACACCTTAACAGAGAGGAGCAGAGTCCAAATGATACATCAGACACCATTTATGGAAGCGCTTGCCTTTGTTATGTTTCTCTACTCATTTACATCTTTCTGTGTAAGCTTCTATATCGGCCCATACTTACTAAGTTATGCTCTTCGCCCCCTTTTAGGGCATAATCAGTGGATAATGGATCTCACGCTGAAGTAAGACTGTTGGTAGTCTTATAAAGACGGGAGAAAAGTTTCGCTGTCTCGATGCACAGCCTTGACATCTGCTTTTGAAGTGC